CTTTGGCCGAGAAACTTTTGGGCCAACGGATCGAGTTGCCGAGTGAAGTGCGTTTTGACTGGGACGCGTCGACGGCGAGAATGGCATCGGTAACCGGAAGACACTTCCAAGCAGAAATGCTGATGTCGCTACTGAATATACTAGGCAACTTGTAGGATGTGGCGTTCGTGCTTGGTAGTAGTTGTCCTACTGTAGATACGAAGTTGCAAACGCCATAGGACCGTGTGCCCTACTGAGGATACAATATATTGATATACGATGGCTAGCTGAGAGAATATAGCGGCCATGCTTGGTATGGTAGAAGTAGTGAGTGAGCGTTTTTTGTGATTAAACCTAGAATAATGTCATAGTGGGACTAGATTGCCTTAAATGGCGGCTCTCTTACGAAACTAATACTCGTCGTACAAGTTATGTCTCTAGCTGTACTTGTGTGAAGTGGGTTATTACCGATGATGCGTATAGACGTCGAGTATAATATAATAATATTCTATTGTTCGACCCTTACGACAATCCTCCGGTAAACTCTGCCAACCGATTAAGGAGATTGGTAAGCGCCCCTTCCCATTATCACTGCAGTGTACACGGCCATAACGAGCAAGAAGTGAACCGGGGACCACACCAAAAACGGTGAACCTGATAAACTTTATGAACGCGGTTCATGAGTATTTTTTGGTTCAGTTGATCTATGTGAGATGTGTTTGAATTTAAGTGAACCAAAGCAGTGCGGCCTGGAGGTGCTGGTGAAACTGCAGCACTAAGTGCGCGGCTGTTTAGTGAGTGCGCATATCTTTTCAGGTCGCATCTGAAACACTCACAAACGACTTTTGCTTCTTCTTGAGCAATGAATCAGCCCGTCCCAGCATCAGCAGACATCGAAGGTCCTGCACAAGAGCTCGTCGTCTGCACACCCCAGCAAGTGTTCACAGATATTCGTCTACAGGGCAGCAACTGTAACGGCGGAGCAGACAGATTTCCCTCACTGAAGTTGTATATAATTGTAATGAAGACCCGGATGGGAGTGTCATTTCGCGTGCAGTACAAGAGCACTTGCAGCGTAGTGAGGATGATGGTTTGGCCTTGAAGCACAGGTGCTATCAATCTTGTACGCGACGCACAGGCTGAGACGGGGACTAACCCTTCAGCAGCTTGTAGATGCTAAGATGCATGCTCAGCACAAACCCTTTGGCGAGCAATTACAAGGAGTACTTCAAGGGTCCCATGATTATCAAGCCGCCATGCAAAACCCTCATGGAGCTCGGACAGATGCTGTTCTATGCGACCGTCTGAAACAAGGAATAACACAGCTACAGCTTAACGTCGACACTGCCGTCAGAGGGCAAGCCGATTCTCGAGCGGCAAGCATCAGAGCCGGCTTAGAAGAAACCTTAAAAACAACTCGACAATCACGGCTAGACCATCTTGAAACACGGCTTCTCGAGAAGATCCGTGCTGCACAAGATCGCGAGCTCTGGCGTGTTCATGCAGATTTATTGGACGAAATAGGGAAACTAGCTGAGGCGCGTCTGAACGAAAAATTAGAAGATTCGGAACAATTCACAGCAATAACAAAAATGAGATTTCGGCGAAGTTGATATTAGGTATATTAAGTGTGAGTTAGCAGGTGAATCTCGAAGCTACTTGGATAACCAGGCAAAAATTTAGTCGAAGCACATTCGAGGTCAAGTCCAGCAAATGTTTGCAGCCCATGGTCACGCACAACCGCAAGATCTCCCTAAACCCTAGCTCCGTTAACTTGTATGTCAGGAAAGGGTTACGATAGTTAACGTAAATTATTTTTTATCCTGAACATTGGATAGCCACAACTCAACCTGACACCTATGATGGTGCAAAAAAAACTATCCTGTATCATCCAAAATGACATGGGACAGCGATTCAGGCTAATCCATTATCGTGTATACACGATAATGGATTTCTTTTGAAATATAGACTTCCACTACAACAATCTGAACGTTAAATGCAACCTATATTTAGCTCCAGTAAGTACTGGCGGCAGAAACAGCCGCTCAAATTGTCGCCGTCGTGCGGTAAAGTTTCTTTGCCGGTTGGTCATGCTCATCACCGTCACCGCCACTCTCCGCACTTCCTGCCGCTACTTCATTGTCGTTTGCACCCGCCGCCCGCGCGCGAATACCTCCCTTCCCTTTTGATGGCGGCAACAAGATACCGTGCTGCCGGTGTTTGTGCCGAATCTCGAAGCAGGATATTGTCTCTCCGTTTACCGTGTGCTTGACTTTGTTGCACAGGTACACGCCTGTTGCGTTTGGCTGCTGGGATCGAGAGGGGAGCTTGCAGGCACCACAATAGAAGGTAGCCCCCCCCCCCCCC